GCCATGTGGGTCACCTCCCTGACCAGGGCTTGAACTTATGCTGAGGCAGCTGCAGATAGCTTTGTAGGGCTGTGCTTTAACCCACTGCACCACCAGGGAGGGTTCCAATGAAATATGTGCTTGAAAGAGCTGAACACCTGTTTGGAAGGTTTTTTTGTTTGCTTGATTCAAATGAACTTCAACCATTTGAAATACAGACTTCACTGGCTGTGGGTCAACCCTCACCTACCCCTAAAAATAGTCTCTTCTGGAACACAACTAAACATCCTGACTCTCTGGCTGCATAACTGTTACCTTCCATGTATTGGTCCCCTTCATTGGTGTGAATTTCCCTGCTTATGTCCATAGTTGTTCCTGTCTCTGACATTCCTGCTGGGTGCGCCATGCTTTCTACTACCCCTTCAGGTTGAATCTGCTCCATGTTTTCTGGAATGTCTGGGGTTTCATGGAGCAAATCACTCTTTCCAGGAGACCCCATAAAATGTCCTGCTTGCAATATTTCTGGAGATTCCTTTTCTTTGGGAATTATTTTTAGAGATTGGGAATGCACATCTTTTCCTAGGGTTGCTGGAAGTTGCTGTACTTCTGCTCTTTCCACGAGCTGACTTCTCTCTAACACCTCCAGAGATTCATTTTCCTCAGCAGCTATTAGGAGTTGGGGTTGTTCATCTTTTCCCAGTTGCCATTCTTCACCTTTGTCCACAAGCTGACTTTGTTCCAATAATTCTGGAGATTCATTCTCCATTAGAGACTTTTCCTCCTGTCCTACTGCATCTTGAGCTTGTAGCTCTCTTGCTGCTTCTGGAGGACTTTTCTCAGCTCTTCCTGGAGGTCTCATCTCTGCAGCAGACCATATGTTCTCCGTGCCTTCCACTGCTGCAGGAGACTCACCCTGCCCTGCTTTCCTCAAAGGCTGACACTGAGATTCTGTTTCTACAGGTTCCGTCTCAGCATTTCCTTTTGAAGGCTCCATCTCTGGCTCCACCACCTTCTTTTCTTCGGCACCCCAAGCATCATCTTTGCCACCTGGCTGAGAGAGTCCACACTCTTTGAGTCCCTCTGGAAGCTGAGTGTTCCCTGTGGATCCTGGTTGGGCTATAGCATCTTTTGACAGGGACTGTTCACAGAGGGAGTTTACACCATTAGCTGTAGAAACTACTGCAATCTTGAGCTTCTCTGATGGAGGCAGGCTTTCCTCTTGTGTCTTGCCATAAAAAGTAGATTCTCTTCCCAGTGTGCATGGTTTGGGTTGGGCAGTGCAGGACTCATTTATTTCTGTGGTTGAAAAACATGTAATTATTTTTTGATCATTCATTTGAAAAGTAAAACAAAAGAGAAAACACAAATTATTATTTTGGTTTCTATCTTCAGAAATTGTATTGATGTCAAGAATCACATTTAACAGTACTAAAGAGTCCAGAATGTACAGGAGTCCAGAAGTACAGGCATCCAGAAAGGCCATGCTGTGACTAGCAGTCCTCAAGTCAAATTGCTTTATTATCTGCAACTCACCACATCTGAAACTACAAAACTCGGTAGTTTAGGGGTTTTCCTGATGGGCCCTCAGCACTGTCACCACTGAGGTGTCAATTCAATCCAGAAAGGGAGCTGACTCTCATCCTGACCCAGCACAGCAGAGCTCTCCTGTCTCCACCACTGCTCCCCTCAGCAGTGTATTTCAGTAGATTGGTCTGTTCTGCTCCCCACTCTGTCTCTGGTGAATCCTCTCACTCCCAGTACCTCTGGCCTATATGCCAGTTCTTGTACGCATAAATAAATCAATCTTTAAAAATGTAAAATAAAAACTGGCAGCTTTTATATGTGGGCTTCCTTCTGTATGTTGGCTTTGACTTTATTTACTCATGAAGTGTTTACTGTGCCAGTTCCAGATGGGAGTGCAGTGGCTATAGCATTTAAAAAGGAAGATATGATCCCTAATATTCTAGAGTTTACTGTCTGCAGGGAAATTCAAAGAGTAACTCCTTCTCTACAGTGCATTCCCTATGCGTGATCTTGTATGCAAGCATCTTCACATGCTTCAACATATGTCCTGGAGGTAGAGGAAAGTGCTCCATCATTTCTCCTAGCACTCTAACTGGAAAAGCAGGAAATCTCTTGGTCACAAACAGGAGACATTCTGTACCTAGTCTATATTTTTACATAATAAGCATCGTGGCCAGGTTCATTGTTTCCACATTCAAAGCAATGTTTACAGATGTGTCTGTCTGCTGAATCCTACATTTTACTGAATCATACACTGCTCTGGACCTCATCTTTTGTTGTTTGTGATCTTTCTTGAGTCTGTTGTAAGTTGATCTGTGCACAAATTTGTTGTGACAGCTGAACTAACAGAACTCTGGCTGTAAGTAAGCACCATTTAGTAACCACCCAAAGAGTTTAAGTACTAGGCAACATTACAGAAGGGATTAGAACTAAAACTAACATATCTGAAATTTGCATTACAGTGGAAGCTTTTCAACTCAGTCCATTATCCTAGTCAGAAATGAAAAGTTTCTCCCCCGCACTAGAAAACTCAAGTCAAGACAGTGGACATGCCAAACACCTCACTGGTATGCCTGCTGGTTTTTCTAGAGAACTGGTGACAAAGGAGGAACCCGGGCCTTTCCCTTGTTCCCAGTTTTAGATTCTTGCAGCTTTTGAGCTTTGCGAAGCAGGTATGCGGCATGAATCAGCTCCAAGGAGAGGTGTGTGTATGTGGGTGTGTGGGGGGGGATCACTCATATTCCTTCTCATCTTCATTGCTTTCTTCTCATTTCCATTCTATCACTTTTCATCCATCCAACTAACATTTGTGAAGTTGCAATGTTGCTATTGTAGCTGGGCTATTTTTTCCTTTTTGCTCATCAATGTGCTTAAAAATACTGCCCTTGTGTGCCTAGGCACAAGTTCTTACCCAAGGGTAAGTTCTGTCAGTTGGCAGATGTTAACAAGGTACTCATGTTTGAGGAGAGGTGAGTGTAAGCAATAACCCATACAACTGATACATGAAAACATAAAAAAATCCCATAAAGGGTAAATAAAAAATCAGACAAACCAATTTTCTGTTTTGGTAGAACTACCTGAATTTACATTATCTAAAATTAAACTTTTCTGTCACCAAGTAAATGCAATAACATTTGAAGGTAGACCTACTATAGTCATTGAACTGTAGCGAAACAAGAACATACAGTCAGAAGACACTTCTGGAACACTTTCATAAACACAAGTAGAGATGCAGAGCTCCTGCCAAGGGAGAAAGCTTGACCTGAAAGAGCCAAAGGGCCAGTCATCAAGCCATGACAAGATAGTTACTTCCTTTACATCTGATTTTCTAGTTTCATTTTCTTTGATTTCTTTTAGAATTCTATAAAATGAATTCTTACTTCAAAAAAACGCTAGTGCATGAAATATCACTTTTGAAATTAGCAAAGTATTTGCTCTCAAAAACAACAGTATCACAGACTGAGGATCATTACTGCCCCATAAGGGTACACTATTTGGGTAGCAATTTCATCTAGAAAATCTAAGGCACCTCAAGAAACAAAGAAGAGAAAGTGAAGATGATGTTTCTAGTATGTTAGTATGTACGAACTGTGGCACTTTACCAACCTACTCAGGCCTCGCCCTCACCCCATGCTTCTCTGGAAAGAACAACAATGGTCAGCATTCATGGAGGTGCTGTGTCTAGACCCTAGGAGGGATACTGCAGAGCTCCTACCTCCGGAAGTTTGATTTCACCTTAAAGATTGAGGTGCTTTAAGGCCAGTTGTGGTCCCTGAACCTGCACCAGCAGCATTACTTCTTTTTAAATGCTGAGTGTCAGTTTCCACTCCATATTTACTGAACCATAATCTGTATCTTCACAAGAACTCAGATGACTGGGCCATCATGGCAGCACTCGGGGGTCACCAGTGAAGGAGCTAATAAAGAGAAACTCAAGTGACCAGAACGTTTGAGCAAGGGACCTGGAACAGCTACAAAGAAGAGGGCAAATGCTGTAGGCTCCTATCAGAGAGAGTTTGCTGAACAACCTTTTCAGTATGAGGCATTTCAATATGGTGGCCTATAAGGCCAAGTTCATTTTATATCTGTATCTTAGATGATAACCGGTATTATTTGGATGTCCATTTTGAACTAAACATTCATGACCACGGAATATACTACAGGTAAATAACCCTTCACTGGTGACCCCAGAATGCTGCCATGATACCCTAGTCATCCAAGTTCTTGTTAAGATACAGATTATGGCCCTCCCTGGTGACGCAGCGTGTGAAAGCATAGCACTGAGAAGCTAAAGCCACTTCAGCATGAGTTCGATCCCCGCCTGGGAGATGACCACTTGGCACAGCAGACCTCTCCTGGCCTGCCAGCAGTGTACTTAGTCAGTTGACCTGTTCTGCTCCCCACGCTATCTCTGGTGAATCCTCTCACTGCTTCTACACCTCTGGTCTATACCCCAGTTCTGTATGAATAAATAAATCTCTTTTTTTTTAAAAAAAAAAGATAGAGATTATGGTTCAGACTTTGGTGACCTGGAAAGTAAATTAGCAGAAATGCCATTTTTCTGCCAAAAGTCTTATTACATTACCCAACATTTCTTCTGGATAAAGTGATTCAACAAAGTTACAAATATGAGATATCTGAATTGCACTGATCTAACTAAATTAAAACATAGAATATGGCTGTCCAAGCTGGTAACATTTTTCAACTCAAATAGCTTTTTTCATTTCATTACCACATTATGAAAGATTGATGGTTCTTCATCTTTACTCTCTTCTACTTAATGGACATTTCACTTAGTTACACGTGCCTGATACTGGTCTCAACGTTAGTCAGAGACATACAGAGGAGATCTGTATGTCTAACGAGCATGTTACCATCTCGGGACAGCTTCTGTCATACTGAAGCCAGGTCTGAGGAGAGGCCAAAGGGAGTGGGAAGTGCAGTCTGAGAAGAAGGCCCTTCCCTCCTGTGTGTGGGGCCATAGTATGCAGCCCCACAGGCTCCTAGGCCCTCCCATGGGGGAGGGTGTGTGGTCAGCTGAACTTGCCCCAAGACCTTTCTTTTCTCTGCTTATTTCCAACAACCAACCTTTGTTTCTGGCTACATGAGAAGTCTGAAATAAGTCTGGCTTATTTCAGCGATCTTCAGGGATGATAACACCTATGGAGTTTTCATTATTAAAAATATGTTTTTTTTTAATCAATCTTTTTTTTTTTTTTAAAGATGTATTTATTTGTGCATACAGAACTGGGGTACAGGCCAGAGGCTCAGGGGCAGTGAGAGGATTCACCAGAGACAGAGTGGGGAGCAGAACAGGCAGATCAATGAAGTACACTGCTGAGGGGAGCAGCGGGCAGGTCAGGAGCCGGCGGGTCAGGAGAGGTCTGCTGTGCCATGTGGTCACCTCTGGGGCAGGAAGGATCGAACTCATGCTGAAGTGGCTTTAGCTTCTTAGTGCTGTGCTTTAACCTGCTGCGCCACCAAGGAGGGCCCTGAATTTCAATCTTTATCCTTAAAGGCAAATTACTAACATCCTGAAAAATAAAGGAAACAGTGGGCTCTAAAATCTGATGGTAATTCCCAAGGAATGTGAACAACCACAATAGCACTGGAGATAAAGAAGGTTCTGAGACCATTATGGCAACACTCGAGATGTTAGCGCTGGCTTGGACGGTCATATTCTGCAATTTTGCTTTGAAACTATTACCTAGAACTGCCTGCATTTATACACAACAGGATTTGAAACCTGGCCAAGTTTGAAGCTTTTTATCAAGTTTGGTGAGCCTTTCAGGAAACTCTCAGTACTAGGTTTTTATTTTAAACCTGATTTTGTAAAATATTAACATCAAAGTGAAACTGCATACACGAACTGGGATGAGGGGCACCCAGTAACATGATCTGACAGAACACAATAAAGCTTTGTATGATGCTGTTTGCCTTTTCCTGCATGACTGACAGGCCCTCTTCACAAGCTATCATTCTCCTTTCCAGCCCTTCCTGGTCCATGTTACCTTCCAGTTGCTGTTATTCCTGGGTCCTGATTTCTAATCTGCCTCTGCTTTTCCAAGTAGTAATTTCATTCTCCTGAGGCCCCACCTCTGTTAACCCATCCATTCACCCACCCACTTACTCTAAGATACATAGTGCAGTTTTTCTAGGCCCCAGTTCCCAAAGGGAAATTGAGTTTGTGAAAAGATAATAAGAGTTTTGGGCTAAAGCCCCAACTCTGTCACTGACTACTTCTGAGAGACCTTGGGCAAATAAGTTATTCT